CATTTTCTCAATATACCGGGTAATGATGCAGTGAGCATCTCGGACCTTTCATATTTTGAGCATCACCGCTTTAATACTTCGTCTTTTGATCTTCATACTGTTGATGAGTCAGAAATTTTAAAAATCATTACTAATATTTCAACTAACGCAATGGGCGCAGATGGTATAACCCGTGATATGATTTATTTAACATTGCCTCATACTCTCCAAGCAATAACGACATTGGTAAATAAGTCCATTCAAAATAGTATTTTCCCTACTCTTTGGAAAGAGGCTCTCGTTAAACCGATCCCGAAAAAAACCGACCCCAATGATTTTAAGGACCTTAGACCGATCAGCATTCTTCCTTTTCTATCAAAAATTATTGAGAAAGTCGTGTGCCAGCAGTTAACGGTGTATTTGTATGCAAACGGTATTTTACCTAAGAAGCAGTCTGGATTTCGAGCTGGACATAGCACAGCTACGGCTTTGCTGGATGTCGTTGATGATATTTTGTCAGGACAGGATACGGGAAAAGGTTCCATTTTGGCTCTTCTGGACTTTTCACGTGCCTTTGACACAATCAATCACAATCTTTTAATGTCTAAATTATCATTTTATGGCTTTAGTAGTAGTGCATTAAGGTGGTTCTCAAGCTATCTCTGTGGGCGTTCACAGCGGGTTGAGGTGGTCGATGAATGCGGAAATAAATATATTTCAAAGACTACCCCTCTCAATCGAGGTGTACCACAGGGCTCAATATTGGGTCCTCTTCTATTTATATTATATAGTGCAGATATGACTACTTGTATCAAAAAGTGTAATTACCATTTGTATGCAGATGACTTGCAAATTTATCTGTCTTTTAAACCTAGTGAAACGTTAGTTGCTGTAAATCAAATCAACGAAGATCTTGAGGCTATTGAGAAGTGGGCCTATAAAAATGGCTTGGTTTTAAATCCACTTAAATCTAAATTTCTTGTACTTGGTTCTGATATACAAATAAGTAATATTAACAGATTTATTCCTGTAGTAAAGATAGGTAATTTGATCATAGAGCAGGTAACTGAAGCGCGAAACCTAGGAATCCTTATGGACAACAGGCTTCGTTTTCACAATCATATCTTGGAAACGGCTAAAAATTGTTATTACAGGCTTAAAGTATTAGTAGTAGTAGTAGTAGTATCAGATTAGAAATTTTTTGGATGTGGACTTAAGAATTATGCTTTGTGAAAGTTTAATACTATCAAAACTTAACTATGCTGACACAGTAATAGGCGAATGCATGTTTGGTTACACTAAAAAAATTATCCAACGCATCCAAAATTCATGTGCACGCTATTGTTTTACCGTTCCACGTAGAGCACATATTACACCTTTTCTCAATGGAAGTAATCTCATAAATATGCAGTCTAGACGATCACTTCATTATGCTTGTCTTCTATTTGGTATAATAAGAAGCACAAAACCTTCATATCTGTACGAAAAATTAAAATTTTCCAAGCGTATTCGAACTGCTTCTCTTCTAAGTTGTCCGAGTCATAACACAGCTGCATTTCGTGGGAGTTTTCGCTACTCCTCTACGAGGTGCTGGAACAATATCCCTCCACCCTTTAAAGATTGTGCCACGATACGTACTATTTACTTAAAATGCAAAAGGACGCTTATTAAAACCTGTATGTATTCATTTTTATTGTTTGATATGTATTTATCATTCATGTGTAATATACTTATATGGTATTTGTGTAGATATATGCATGTATATGTCCCTGTGCTTCTATTTTATATTGTGTTGCGTTCCATTTCATTATAAATTATTATTGCCCATTATATATTATCCACAGTTGTACACTCATAAATAAATTTAATTTTTGCGCGTAGCGGTACCTTTATTTAATATTAGTAGGTATCTACGGAAGACCAGCGTCGAAGCATCGTTAGATGCTCCGACATTATGCTGAGTAGATACCTTTTCAGCACCATGTATATTACTTGTGTATGTATTATGTATGTTATCAAAATGGTCATGGTACTGAATAAATATTTTTTCTTTCTTTCTTTCAATTCGAATAGTTTGCGAGTGCGAAATGTCAATGTCATATTTTGTAACAGCAGCGCCACAACGGACGTAACGTAAAAATCAGTACACATATAATAAATAATAAAAAATAAATAAATATTTCAAACACTCACACCAATTAGCCTAGCCCCAAAGTAAGCACTGTAAAGGCTTGTGTTATGGGATACTAGGGTAACGGATAGAATACATATATTGTACATATATAAGTATATTTATATGAAATACATATTAAACATCCATGACTGGAGTTCAAATGCTCGTATTCATCACACAAATATCTGCCCCCACCGGGATTCGAACCCGAGACCTCTCGAGTCGGCGACGCCATGAAACCCGGCGTATAAACCACTCGGCCACGGAGGTCGTCATGACAATGACATTTCGGACTCGCAAACAATTCGAATTCGACATTGCTTCGTGCTAAGGATACTGATACTGCGATCGTAAAAGTTAAGCGACTTTCGCAATGGTCGGTCATTGTATGGGTGACCGAAAATTTTCAATCTCTCACTCCTCCGTGCTTCGGAAGGCAAGTAAAGACGTTGGTCCCGACTGCATCTGCAGACGTTAGCACCCACCAATCCGCATTGGGGGTGTCGATCTGTTTGTCCTATGACATCAGGATTTCTATAGTATAGACTTATAGAGATATCAGTAAAACCACATATAATGATAGCGTTTTAAAAAATGTTATGTACGTGGTCTGTGATGCGATCAGCCCACGTGTCATGACGCGAGTTTAACATTTTTACCCATACAAAAAAAAAGTGTACAACGCCGCTAAAGATTACCCAATAGCCTCTGGTTTACGGATACAGGTTTGGGAAGGGATACCATAGTACTGGCACACAGACTCCGATCTGGTCACATACCTTTAAATAGCTTTGGTTACTTGATGAGAAAAGAGAACTCTCCAAATTGTACTGAGTGTGATCGGATCGAGGATGGGTGGCATGTGATGGCTGAATGTACGAGGGTTGTAGCAGAAAGATACCACCTTTTTAACCAATTCCTGTCAGTAATGGACGTTGGTTTATATAACAGCATACTGTCTAGTCCCTTTTCCAAAATAAGTAAGATCTTGTATAAAATAGTATCAATCAAAAAGACGACGATAGAAGCTTAGAACGATAAGGGTGACATGGTCTTTATTAAAGACAGAAAAAAAAACGCCGCTAAAGATGTTTTCACTTCAAAAAACTTTTATTATAATAAACTTTATTTTTTTATCTCTTTAGCTGCTAGAGAGAGAGCAAGTCATCCACCGTCTCTTACTGCTAAACACATCACCGCATATACAAAAGTATACAATACAGAAAATAATTACCTACTTAGAAGAACTACAACCGCGTCTTTGTAGCAAAGAAGAATTATTCGAAATTTCGAATACAGAAGAAATGGAAAACCTTTGCTACATATTTCACATTCTAGAAGTCTTATTAAGCAGATACGTTAAAAGCGAAGAACTAGCAACACCGAAATCTTCACAAACGGAGTTGAAAAAGAGCACAATAAGTGATTTGTGGAGAAAGAGATTTTATCCAGCGCATCATAGGACCAACACGGAAATCAAACCGGAAGTTAGCCCAAAAGAAAGTATATTGAAAAAGTGCGCGGTAGTTTTGAATAAATTCATCGTGTCTTGTATGAGCGGGTACAGTCTAGTGTCTTATGTGGCTTTGCAATGTTTCAATGCTCTACAAACTTAGTTAAAAGAAATAGTTTCGGAATTATTAGAAAAAATATATTTATGTATATAAAGAAAGATTGTTTCCATTTTGTTGTTTATTATTTTTCCCTCTTGGAATTATCCTGTGTTTGTAACATAATCTAGACTTTATTGCCTAACAAACTATACTTATATTTTTTTATTTCATAGCATATAACTGCTCGATTTTATATATATATATGTAAAGAAAATATTACTAGAGAAAATTCCACGTGGACCAGGCAGCAGACGGGACTCGAACCCGCACCCTTCGCTATTCGGGCGAATGCACCGACATTATGCTACCGCGGCCCTGATGGCCGTGTCAAATTCATTCTAGCGTTTCTTAAGCTGCTGCAGCTTAATAATATTTTCTTTATAATTCAGTAAAACTTTAGTTTCAAGTTTCCTTTGCCTGCTTTCAGGACGAATTACTTTAGGATCTTAAAAATAAGTTCATGACATCATCATCACCATCAGTCTATTAATGTCCCCACTGCTGGGGCACAGGCCTTCCCTATGGATGGAATAGGGAGATTGGGCCATGACCCACCACGCGGGCCCAGTGCGGATTGGTGGGTGTTAACGACTGCAGATGCAGCCGGGACCAACGGCTTAACGTGCCTTCCGAAGCACGGAGGAGCTCGAGACAGTAAATTTTTGGTCACCCATCCAATGACCGACCACTGCGAAAGTTGCTTAACTTCTGCGCCATCGAGCTCCTCCTACTAACCGAAACTGCTTAACCGATTTTAATCAAATTTGCACACCGTGTGCAGTTTGATGCAACTTGAAAGATAGGATAGCTTACATCTCAATTTATAGTCGCAATATTATTTTATTGCAAATTATTGCTTTTGGGCGGTACGAAGTTCGCCGGCCGTCTAGTATATCACATTAATAAGTTTAATTATAAAGGCGAAAGTTTATGAGTGTATGAGTATGTTTGTATGTTACATCTTCACGTCTAAACTGCTGGATTGATTTTAATAACATTTGGTATGGAGATAGCTGACACCCTGGATTAACACATAGGTTACGTTTTATAACAAACCGCAGGATACAGCTATATACATATATATATATATAGACCGTACTATCTAGATATATACTATATAAGTATCCAAATATCAGATAATACTTACCCAAATCGTAAATGAGTATTTTGAATTCAGTGCATTATTTAAAACAGCCTCATTGGGATTTTTTTTAAAAAGAAAATAAAGCAAAGACTATTTGTCCATACATTCCATTTTATTCACAAACTTTTTGATAATTAAACGCCAGCGTTTTGTGCGTAATATGATGACAGTTCCTCTTCAAGTCTGTTCTTGTCACAAACTTCTCTTAAATGGCGGTTCAATTTGCTGTTACACTGAAATGAAAGACTTTACATAAACTCAATAAATATTTGACAATATTAAACAAATAATTTTCACATTTCTAAGCAGATAGCAAATAGATTTTAAGATTGGAAGTTATTGCAGTCTAGAAGTTAATTATCGATTCCATAGACATAGGATTCGACGACATACATACGATTCGAGATACAGCCATTGTATATTAAAATGTAATTGATTTGATTGAATAAGTAAAAATAAAAAATAAAAATCGAATACATAGATAATGACCTGCGTGCTGTCTGCAATAGGCTGTTTAACAGTAAGAAAAAAAGTAAGCATTCCCGTTTAACATGAATATTGGGAGCAATTTCAGTATTCTGACAAAAAAACAAGTGTGCTTATGACCACACGACTAAAGTGAAACTTCTTTAGCTACGTCTGTATTTATATCTTTATATATATAATTCTTCTGTGAGTGTGTATGTCACTGAACTTCTCTTAAACGACTGGACCGATTTTGATGAAATTTTTTGTGTGTGTTCAAAGGGATCTGAGAATGGTTTAGATTCACAATTTTGTCCGCTGGACAACCCCTATTTTTTTTAGGGCGGTACAAAGTTCGCTGGGTCAGCTAGTATATATATACAACCACCACCAACCCCTATTTTTTTTAGGGCGGTACAAAGTTCGCTGGGTCAGCTAGTATATATATATACTAGCTGTCCCAGCGAACTTCGTACCGCCATAAAAAAATAGGGGTTGGTGGTAGATGGGTTTAAATTTAGGGTTGTATGTATTTTTGTATGATGTATCATACAAAAATAAAAAGATGAAATTTTGTTCAAAAAAAAAATAAGGGTGGACCACCCTTAACATTTAGGGGGATGAAAAATAGGTGACTGTGTATGTTTGTTACTTCTTCACGTCTAAACGGCTGGAGCGATTTTAATAAAATTTGGTATGGAGCTTGCTGACACCCTAGATTAACACATAGGCTACGTTTTACTGCGGGAAAATATCCCTAATAAACTGCGGGTAACACCGCGGGGCACAGCTAGTACATGTATAAATTCTATTATATAAATTTCTCGTGTCACGGTGTGCGTAATTGAACTACTCCGAAACGGCTAGACCGATTTTCGTGAAATTTTATATGAATATTCAGTAGGTCTGGGAATCGAACAACATCTAGATTCCATCCCCCTAAATGTTAAGGGTGGTCCACCCTTAAATATTTTTTTTGACAATTTTTTTGTTATTTTTTTTTATGATACATCATACAAAAATACATACAACCCTAATTTTTCACCATTCTACCAACCCCTATTTTTTACGGCGGTACGAAGTTCGTTGGGACAGCTAGTTAGTTATATTATAAAAATCTCCTTGTAGGGACATCGATAAACTGATAGAGTCTGTGCGGAAAGAGAATGAGATTAGAGGGCGCTGTAGTGCTTTTCTACCGTGTCTGTAAGGTTTCACCCCTTTTAGACATGATTAAATACAAAAAACAACAAGAAATCACAACAACAAACAAATCCGTATCAAGATTTTACAGATTGCTGGGTTTGATTTCTAATAATGAAAATCTTAATGTTATAATTTTTAAAGCATGTAACTGCTTGATGTTTAAATCTAAAGAAAATATAACTAGAAAAAAATCCACGCGGACCAGGCAGCAGACGGGACTCGAACCCGCACCCTTCGCAAACCGGGCGAATGCACTGACCAATTATGCTACCGCGGCCCTCACAGACCGCGTCGAAATTCCTCTAGCCATTCTTAAGCTGCAAGGCAGCGCCATCTCTTCGCATTGTAGGTAACCCAAAATGTCAAATGAATACTTTTACAAGTATTAAACATTTGAAAGAAGAAATAGCAATTATAGTTATAATTTTTATTATTTTTAAAGCATGTAACTGCTTGATGTTTAAATCTAAAGAAAATATAACTAGAAGGGTGCGGGTTCGAGTCCCGTCTGCTGCCTGGTCCGCGTGGAATTTTTTCTAGTTATATTTTCTTTAGATCTTAATGTTAGTTCCGTTTTTCGCCACGCCCATTCTCTTTCCGCACAGACTCTAATAATGATGAGAACTTGGACTTACTTTGAATGTAGTCCCGCAGAGATGGCAAATGGCCGGAGTGTTGTTGGGACGAATGGGACGGGGGCGAGTGGGACGAGGACGTCTCTTCTCTTCTCTAGAGGGGACAATATTAAAAGTAATTTCATTTGTCAAATATAAAAAAACGAGTATGCTTATTATAGATATTAACGGGATTGTTCCCATGTACCTTGTTTTTTATGAGTCTCCGATATTTCGGCAGTGTTGCAAGCGCCATGATCACGGAGTAACTGAAGTAATTGCGGGTAGATGTTATTGGCAGACATATCGGTCTACCCTCCGACGTCATCTTTTACTGCGTTCGATACTACCACTACCATTGGTCACATTCTCACTATTCACTCGCATAGAGACTCATAAAAAACTAGGTACATGGTAACAATCCCGTTAATATCTATAATGTTAGTGACCATGAAAGTTTAAAACAGAGTATGCTTATGACCACACGACTGAAGTGAAACTTCTTTAGCTCCATCTGTATGAATGTGGCGGCGACATCTATATGCCCCACAGATATACAACGGATGTAGGAAAACATTACTCACCATCCTCAAGAGATGGCGTTACCTGCACTGCGATCAATATTAATATGGAAGCCTACATCGCGCAAATGAAATTCGGAGGCTAACTCTTCATATATACGATGCCCGACCAACATCAGTTGGGCCGCGGCCCCCGAGCTAACATCACCCAGCTCGGAGGAAGATCTTCCCCTTTGGCTTTCCTACATGTATATATACAGTAGAATCCGTTTATTATGACTCCGCCTATATTGACCAACCGCCTATTATGACGTAATTACATAACGAAGTTTGGTTTTCATATAAAATTCATTGTAACAATGTCGGACATAATGACTTCGCTTACAGTGACATGTCGCTTATTATGACCCATTTTTAAAAAAAATTGTGCGTTTATAGTGACCGACATGGTTTTTTACACCTACGGTAATGTCTGTGATTCAAATTGAACATCAAGCATTGTTTTTAGTGATATGCTATGTAAAAAATGTCATCTCAACGTCGTAAAGCATTTACGACTGAGGAAAAAGGTGCAATAATATGCTGATTAGAAAATGGAGAATCAAACTCATCTCACAATCTTTTTTCACATAAATGCTTTGTATGACGGCCGCTTAGTATGACGCGTTTGTCGATGCCCTTCGAAGTCATAATAAACGGATTCTACTGTATATATCTTTATATATATAATTCTTCTGTGAGTGTGTATGTCACTGAACTTCTCTTAAACGACTGGACCGATTTTGATGAAATTTTTTGTGTGTGTTCAAGGGGATCTGAGAATGGTTTAGATTCACAATTTTGTCCGCTGGACAAGGTTTTTTTAATTAATTTTTAATTTATTAGTAGTTGTTGATTTTGGAATGTTTTACATTGGATCCGACAGACGGCGCTACCATCGCAGTGTCAAATCATTATATATATAATTCTTCTGTGAGTGTGTATGTCACTGAACTTCTCTTAAACGACTGGACCGATTTTGATATTTTTTTTTGTGTGTGAAATGAAATGAAATGAAATGTCATTTATTCAGTCTAGGCTGTTACAAGCACTTGTGAAGGTCAAGAAGCTACGCCATCGGTTCGCAAAACTACGGCGGGAGACCTTGTACTGAGAAGAACCGGCAAGAAACTCAGCAAGGGCTGTTTTTTTCTCCCTGTATTGTTATATACAGTGTCGTCAATTTGAAAAATTACTTCAGAAATACGTCTGAAGTCACATTCCATTACATCATCTAGAATATAAATAGTTACAATTAATTTTATAGTTAACATTTTAAGTAGTATATAGGAAGCGGCATTAGATAGGTACAATATTACTGTTATGAAAAATGAGTAATACCCATTTAATATCAAATTATAAGAAACACTATGTCCATGCATTACGATCATTTAGATAATCATCAACTTTATAATAGCCCTTATTCATAAGAGTATTTTTGATCTGAGATTTAAATTTAGTCAGTGGAAGCTCAATCAGATCTTGGGGAACTTTGTTAAACAATGCAATACTACAACCCAGAAATGAACCTCTTGATTTTTGGAGTCTGAAACATGGAACGGCAAGCTTGTTCTTAAATCTCGTGTTAAAGTTATGGGTTTGACTTTTTTTTTGCAAATTCATCATAGTTTTTTCTTACATATATTAAATTTTCATAAATGTATTGCGACGCCAGTGTTAAAATATTAATTTCTTTAAAATTTCTCTAAGGGATTCTCTTGCCTTTAAATTGTATATGGCGCGAACAGCTCTCTTTTGCAGTATGAAAATACTTTCGATATTAGCGGCTGAGCCCCACAACAAAAGGCCATATGACATAACACTGTGAAAGTAACCAAAGTAAACTAATCTTGCCGTTTCCACATCAGTTAAGAGTCTTATCTTTTTAACAGCGTAAGCTGCAGAGCTCAATCTACTTGACAAGGCATCAATATGAGGATCCCATTGCAGACGAGAGTCTAAAGTAATACCCAGAAACTTTGTAAAATCCACTAACTCTACAGGCTGGTCATTTATTTTTATACTAGTATTAACCTGCCTCACATTAGGTAGAGTAAACTTAACGCATTTTGTTTTACTGGAGTTAAGTTTTAAATTATTTACCGTAAACCAGTGAAGGACTTCAGAGAGAGCACAATTTACTTCGTCATAACAATCATTTCCTCTTCTAGCTTTAAACAATAAAGAGGTGTCATCAGCAAATAGTACTGTCTCACACAAATCTCTTGTAAAGTGAGGAAGGTCATTGATATAAATAAGGAAAAGCAATGGGCCCAATATTGAACCCTTGGGCACGCCCATAGAAATAGGTGCTCCTGTAGACTCAGCTTCATTTATAACTACTTTCTGAATCCTAGCAGAAAGATAAGACTGTATCAGACTTAGTGAAATATTTGATACACCATAATGCTTCATTTTATTTAACAATGTTTCATGGCTAACGCAGTCAAACGCCTTTGATAAGTCGCAAAAAATGCCAATAGCATCGTGCTTACTCTCCCATATATCAAAGATGTGTTTGAGAAGTGCAGTTCCAGCATCAGTAGTACTTTTGCCTCTAGTGAAACCAAACTGTTTTAAATGAAATAGCTTATTTATAGAAAAGTGTGCTAGTAATTGGTTATAAATTATTTTCTCAAATACTTTACTTAGCGCTGGTAATACAGATATAGGCCTAAAATTGCTGGGATCTGATTTGTCACCAGCCTTAAAGAGAGGGATAACTTTAGCACATTTCATTAGATCTGGAAACACTCCCTCATCAATACATTTGTTAAATATAATGGCCAGTTGTGGCGCAATAACAGTGATAATCGGTTTTATTATATATGTTGATATTCCCCAATAATCCTCTGTCTTTTTAATTTTAATTGAGTTAAAAGTTTTTATAATACAGTCACTACTGATATGTCTAAAATGAAAATCATTACTGCACTTATCAACACTTGACTCAAGGAGGGTCATTGCTAACCTAGAACAAGAATTAAGATTTCTAGTTGTTTCAAATGGTGCACTAGAAAAGAAATTTTCAAAAGGGTTTGCAACGGCATCATCTGTCCTAATAATCTTATTGTCTATTTTTAAAGAATATGTGTTTTTTGAGTTATTATAATTCTGTGTCATTTGAGATAACGATTGTTTAAGGGTTTTTAATTTAATATTCAATGAATCCATATTTTGTTCATATGTTAATCTATTTTCTTCAATTATGGAACGGCAAGTATCTAATTTTTGTAGTAACTGTGTACGTTCTTTAACAAAGTCAATATTTTTATAAAATGCCTTTTCTTTATTTATAAGTTTCTTAGTTTTTAAAATATACCTTCTGACCTTAACATATCTTTTTAATTTGTTCTTACTACGTTTAACAAGTCCATTCCCGGGAGAACACTGAAATGAACTGTCAGAATTGAAATCATTTACAAGAGTGTTAGTATTACATTTAGAATTGATGGGCTGCTGGCACTGCATCAGAGGTCCTCCAGGTGATGCCATCAGTTCCTCAAAAAGACTTTGAGTATGTGCTGACTCTTGAAGCTGCTGTACTTCCATAAAATGTGCTATTTGCGTATTCGCTGCACTCAGCTCCTTTTCAAGGTCAGTGATGCGCTGCAGAGCCCTCTCATAAGTGTTGAATTGCTCATTATAGTGACTGATGGCATCATTTAAATTGTCTCGTTGTAGTAAGACTTCTACGTGTTCAGTATGAAGATGGGATAGTTTGCACTTAAGCTGAGTGTTCTTGTCTATGACCTTTCTAATCTCTTCTTCACTCTCCTCTCGTTCACGCAGTAGCTGACTACAAGTCTCCTTAGCATGCTTGAGTTCTTCAAGAGCATGCCTCAGTTGAAGCTCTGTGCATTGAGCTGCAGCTTTGCGGGTCATCATTGTTGTGATTGTATATTTAAAACCTGGAATGAGTTAGGAAATGTGAGTTTGGTTCAGAATTACTTAGTATTAATATATTTCATACTACACAATTGGCAAAGCTAAATGATTCGCAGAAACAGTTTTATTTTTATTGTTATTATATGAGGGTATATAATATAATCTTTCCTATCTTAATTGATAGAAAAACTAAATGAATAGTATTCAATATCTATTAATCTTTAGTACATAAGCACTCAATATTATTTTTGCATTAAATTTTCCTAACTGAATAAAGCAACAAGTATCTCAAGAACAGAACTCAAATAAGTGACTGAAGTCGGAAGCTGAGTAATATGTGTACTGTCTGTGTAATGTCAGTGTAAAATATAGTACAATGAATGACTGGAGCAACTTAGTCGTCACCATCAACTTCACTTCCAATTTTGTCAAGCAAAGAGAGGTATACTGTGGCTTTTCGTTTTGTAATGTGACGTTACTCACTAAGTATGTGAGTTTTGTTAAGTCGTTTGGTGAATGTCATATGTTTATTTGAGTGTGAACTAAGGAGAAACTTAATTGCTATGAAAGAAATGTCAGCAAAACATCAATTTACATATTAGCTTATTTAAAATAAGGAACAAATGTACTCCCCCGGTTTATAATGCAGCAGTTTACACTTTTATCC